TAATTCTGAGTTTATATAATTCTGAGTTTATAGCTCGTAATTCTGAGTTTATATGATAATTCTGAGTTTATATCTCGTAATTCTGAGTTTATATAATAATTCTGAGTTTAAATCTCGTAATTCTGAGTTTATATCTCGTAAATCTGAGTTTATATGATAATTCTGAGTTGATATCTCATAATTCTGAGTTTATATGATAATTCTGAGTTTATATCTCATAATTCTAAGTTTATATCTCGTAATTCTGAGTTTATATAATAATTCTGAGTTTATATCTCATAATTCTGAGTTTATATAATAATTCTGAGTTTATATAATTCTGAGTTTATATAATTCTGAGTTTATATAATTCTGAATTTATATCTCGTAAATCTGAGTTTATATGATAATTCTGAGTTTAAATCTCGCAATTCAGAGTTCATATCACAATTCAGAGTTCATATCACACAATTCTGAGTTTATATAATAATTCTGAGTTTATATAATAATTCTGAGTTTATATCTCGTAAATCTGAGTTTATATGATAATTCTGAGTTTATATAATAATTCTGAGTTTATATCTCGTAAATCTGAGTTTACGAGATGATAATTCTGATAATTCAGAGTTCATATCACACAATTCTGAGTTTATATAATAATTCTGAGTTTATATCTCGTAAATCTGAGTTTACGAGATGATAATTCTGATAATTCAGAGTTCATATCACACAATTCTGAGTTTATATGATAATTCTGAGTTTATATCTCGTAAATCTGAGTTTATATGATAATTCTGAGTTTATATCTCATAATTCTGAGTTTATATCTCGTAATTCTGAGTTTATATCTCGTAATTCGGAGTTTATATGATAATTCTGAGTTTATATCTCATAATTCAGAGTTCATATCACACAATTCAGAGTTCATATCACACAATTCAGAGTTCATATCACACAATTCAGAGTTCATATCACACAATTCAGAGTTCATATAATAATTCTGAGTTTATATCTCGTAATTCTGAGTTTATATCTCGTAATTCTGAGTTTATATCTCGTAATTCTGAGTTTATATCTCGTAATTCTGAGTTTATATCTCGTAATTCTGAGTTTATATCTCGTAATTCGGAGTTTATATGATAATTCTGAGTTTATATCTCATAATTCAGAGTTCATATCACACAATTC